ATGAAAGTGGTGTTTATAATTAAACCAGCTCAATAAAGACACTAACAAGTGGGATTTGGCAAGGTTCTCAATGAAAATTTTGTCTGCACCTCCTTCATCCGTTAAAGGAACCTCTCTTTTAGCACAACGGGGGAAACATATTTTAAGAAACAGGCTGTTGCCCGAGCATGGAGAACAGTCTACGTTTTTAAATTATAATTTCCCTAATTTCTAACAATAGATAACTCCATTTAGGCCTTTGTTTTTGAAAGTTACGTTTCAAATGTCTTTTAAACGTTTTTTAAATGTCTTTTAAACGTTCTGTATGTAAGAATGTTTAAAAGACATTTATATGTATGTAAGAATGTTTAAAAGACACTATATCGCATATATACCAATTTTCATTATATTTCAAAGTTTCATTATAATTAACGTCTAGGGCTGTTTTGGATGTAATACCACAGGTGACATCGTGAAAATAGAGAGAATAATGATAAAAGTTGTTTACTTGGACACTTAAACAGTCATCCTATACCTTTTGAAAGTTGGGTTAATAATAAGCCATATATTTTATTTAGAAGAAAATGACTTAAAGCTTAAATCCAAACCATATTCTTTGGAACAATGTACAGGTTGTTTGACTGAATTCGAAAATGATCAAATATTGAATAGAATGATTTAGCCTCTCCAATCACAAGATCTCTTTCCTATCAGATTTTAATGGAAGAAATTAAAAGTAATGTCAAAAACTAATTTAATGATGCCTAAGATGTGGAAAAATCTTATTAGTTAGTGGCACAAAATTCATTTTGACAAATTGGATTAATGTTATGTTTTTAGTTTTTCTCCAAAAAGTAAGTAAAACTTTGATATCTTTTATCGAAAAGTATGACCATTTGAATAATTATGGAGGGTGGTGTATATTTTATATATATATATAACTATTAGAAGAAAATGACTTAAAGCTTAAATCCAAACCATATTCTTTAATAAGCTTTAAGTCATTTTCTTCTAATAGTTCCACGGCTGCTCAAATATTCTATATTTATGATATTTTTCTGGTCATTGCTTCAATTTTTTTCAATATAAAAATTTGTTTTTACTGCTATGACTGTTTACTAATATATATATATATATATATATATATATATATATATATATATATATATATATATATATATATATATATATATATATATATATATATATATATATATATATATATATATTTATATATATATATATATATATATATATATATATATATATATATATATATATATATATATATATATTAGTAAACAGTCATAGCAGTAAAAATAAATTTTTATATTGAAAAAAATTGAAGCAATGACCAGAAAAATATCATAAATATAGAATATTTGAGCAGCCCTGGCGCAGTGGTAGCGCACTTGTTTCAGAAACGTAAGATCCGTGGTTCAAACCCCACCTCTGGACAGGTTTTGCGACATCGGTTGGGAAGGAGGCGTGAACTTCCTATTAAATGCTCTTCCGCGCTGCTCTGCGATAAGACCGTAAGGACTTCTTAAGGCACTTAAATCAACATTAAAAAAAAACAAAAAAAAAAACATATTTATCTAAAGTTTAAAAAAAAAAAAATTGAAATCCTATAGTCAGATTTTAAGAAAATTGATTTCCAATAAATATAAACAAATCTATGAGTTACACTAAAAAGTTGTTAATTGAAAATAAAGTTTAGGTACGCTAAGATATTTTTTATCCTTTTTTTACTTTTGCAAAATTATTGTAATAATATACTGATCTACATTAAAAATAAGGCTTCATCATAGAATTTTCAGAAATCAAATAACAAATGGACGGTTGCGATATAAAATATTGTCTGTAGTTAAGAATTGTAACCATTTTAAAAGTTCAAAAGTTTATCGTATTTTCTCACGCATGCGTACCTAAACATAGCGCTTGCACAACAGATGTTTCACTATTACTATTACAGCGGCACTTAAGGTGGTAACCCAAGAAATATATTAAAATTTAATTGGAACTAGAGCACACTTTCATTCACAACATAAATACCTTATTTTAAATAATTTTCAAATATGTTATCAAACTTGAAATTCTTTGCATCAATTACCCCAAAAAAATTGAAAATAACCGAATTTTTGTGAACTGATTACTCAAAATCTACTTGTCATTTTAGCATGAAATTTGCAACGTTTTTTGACCACGGTAACATAATTCATTTGAGAGAAAATTAATGAAAACATATGAATGTTTTAGAAATTATGTATCACACACTAAAAAGTAAGCGAGCTAAACAACACATATATAACATAATTTCCAGATCTAAAATTCATTGAAAAAAAACCATTTCTCCAATGAATTTTAATAATATGTAGAACAATCTGTGAAAATTTTAACACTTTTGTATAATTATTTAAAAATTTATCATTTCACAAACTTTGAAAACTAGTGAAAAGGTATGTTTTGAGACTTTGCAAAAATTAAAATTACTCAAAAAGCATAACAAAAATATATAATTTCTGGAATAAATAGAATAAATAAAAAAACCTCCAGGTTCATATGATATTTTTCAGCTTTTTTAACTTTATTTGAATACCCTTTTTTAATACTTTTTAACTGTTTAAGTTTGTTTTTTACGGGGATTGATTTTTTTATTGACAATCATGAGTAGAGTTTTTTTGCGTTGCTATAGTTGACGTTGCATAACCAAAAAGACTAAACTCTGATAATACAGACCAAACACCACTCGGACCATCATAAAACTTAAATATAGCAGAATTTACTCCAATTTCCAGTGTTGATCGGTTCACTTTGCATTCTGCGTTTGACCATGAAGACATAAAATTGTTTGACCATAAATCCTAAAAAATTGGTTTTAATAAATTAAAAACTTCTATTGATAATGATTTATGTTTTTTATATGGTTGTACCATAAAACTAATCGTAGTGATATCTGCACCAACTATTTTTATCTTGCGGGCACATTCTATGTTGGTATTCTTGATCATCAAATTTAGCGCAGTGTAAAAGTACTGCCCAAACTGGTTTCTTCATAGCATATAAACTATCAACATTGTTTTTATTTGCTAAACCATTATAGTTTTGGAGAGAGTTTATTACTGATTCTATAAGTTTACCCACACCCTGCAGACAGGTCTGTGTCTTTTTAATTATTTTCATTTAGAGACGAATACCCACGCTTTTGTCACGTGTCATCAATTGTAATACAATGGTAGTAGGGTCCTTCCAGATCATTTGTTATGCATTCTTGGGCTGCCTTGTTCAGTAACAGCATTCATATAAGCAGCATATACTCGAGCATTTATTTTTGTTAAAATTCATACTCATTGCAAACGTTTCAATGGCCTGAAAGCCTAATCCAATCTCGCGGAACGCAACAGCTGAACGTATATTCACTTCATGTGGCTCTCAGCCAACATTACTTACAGTAGAAATAGTTTTTGAGCTAAAAAACTGGTTAGTTTTTTCACAATTCTTACAATATAACTCAATGCAATGTGAAAACCCCATTCTTAGATCTAATATACCAGTTATTTTCAATGATGAGTTGCATAATTTACATACAATAATTTCAAACATTTTTTTAAAAATAGTCATATCAATCAAAATGAAGTAGCTTTCAGTATCTTAAAGATAATTGTTTTCGAAAGAAAATTGTTGTTGGAGGGTACTCTGCTTTTGTGGTTGTTGATGTTGTGTTGAATGCAAGTTTGTTTGCTAATCATTTTTACAACGATTAAGAAGGTGAACATTAGTTCATTTCTTTTTTAAAACAAAATTCTGCTTGTTACCATTAGGTGTTATACTTTTAAAATAATACAAACAGCAAATAGTACAACTTTCAAAATTCCAAAATACTAAAAATACTGCTTTAAACAACCTTTGTAACAACTTGAATATATATTGAATGATCATTCAACTTGTGACCAAAAAAATAAACAAGGTAGGCTATAATACTCAATTACTTTTTAATATTTAAAATATATAGATTTTTGAAGTTATACATTGGAAATACTGTTATGGACATTACAAACTCCATGGTTGATATAAGCTCAAATTATTTTTACTCCAAGTGAAAAATTAGCATTAAAAGTTTTTGTATTCTGTGAACAAAAGATTAATGAACCAAATTTTAATTTTATTTTCAAAATTGACTTTTATTTTTTGGGCTACCAACTTAAAAGAGACTGCAAAACCAATTGCACAATATAGATAGTTAATTGGTATGTTAAATGATAGACGCAAGGAAGACCACCTATCGCAACACTATATCGCATATATACCAATTACATATATCTATAAGGGGTTGTCCATTAATTACGTCAACAAAATAGGAGGGAGGGGGGATCTGAACTTTTTTGACAACTGTTGACACGGGGGACGTCAACAATTTTTTTTGTTTTGAGTTTCAGTGCTTAAATAACGGAAAATTAGGCTGAGTTTGTAACGTAGTTTTTATGTATGAGGAGGGGGGGGGGGTTTGTAACGTAGTTTCTTTGTATAGGGGGGAGGGAAAATCAAAAATTGACGTAATTTTATAGGAGGGTTTCTGGACAAATTGTTAACAAGGGGGAGGAAGGGAAGGTAAAAATTTCAAAAAATTTGTTGACGTAATTAATGGACAGCCCCTAAAGATAAGATCAGACTTTGAATTATTATTTGCACATTAATAAGATTATTTTTAATTAATTGATTTAAATTATAATTAAGTTTTGGATAGGGTTAAATTTAAACATAAATTTTGAAAACTAAAATTAATTATAATTTATTATAAATATTTTTTCTTTGCATTTTTGATTATAGTGAGGTTTTTTCTCAGGATTTATTGTGTGATACTTATACAAAAAATCCGAATATTGTTAGCAAAATATAACGTAGTGTGCATGGTCACGCTTGAATTACGCTCTATTTTTGTGTCAATAAGTTAAACGGAGTTTCCAAACCACTTGAGTCTATTAACTATGCTGAGACTTAAAATTTTTAAATATTAAATTTGATTTATTATAAAAATTCGTTTATTATAAAACATTTGTAAAAATAAAACATTTTTTATTTATTTTACAATAATTGTTTTTAGATTTTATATTTAAGATATTAAACATTTTTTCTGTGTTATAAAGCTTTTAAATTCATCGAGATTATGAAAATAATTTTTACGGTATGCTATCTTAAACTCCTTTATATTTGAACGACGAACCCATTCATAAATGTCTTCAATATAGTTGATGTCGTCGTGAAGAGAAAGATCTAATCCTTCACAAAGATTAATCCACGGAAGAAAGTTTTCAAAATCTTTCTTTGATAAATTATCTGGTATGTATATGCTCAATAAATCAATCTTATCTTTTGGTTTCCACCCTTCGATTTTAATAGGACGAAATAAGGTGACATAGCGAACATTACTTGAACATAGAATTAAAAGGTGTTTTTCTTCATCACTGAAAATATTTTTATCGATACTTAACGTCGTTAACTTTCTTCCAGATTTTATTAAATGATTTACAAAATAATTACAGCATGAAGTTTCGTAAGAAGTTTTTCCGTTGTGAATCGAAATAATCCACTCTCGTTGTTTATCAATGGTTAATTTAATATCATCAGTTAATGGGGATTGACTTTCATAAAAACATTCAATGAATAAATTACTGTAATAAATTTGAAGTGGAAATTCGTACTCATTGAAGTTATTATAACTTTTACGTAGCAAACCTAACAAATTTTAACGAAAATGAAGTATTAAATATAATGCAACAATAAGTAAACAATTAAAAATAACCGAAACTATATTTGTAATTAAATATAAAACTATATACAATTATACATTTTATTTTATTAACACAATGTAAAATAACGTTTACATAAAATATCATCGTTCGTTTGTTTTAATAAGACACAAAAACCAAATTTAGAGTAAAATGAAATCATTTTGTTAATTTTCTTTTAAAAATTCAGAAGAATTTAGGAAATAAGAATTTAAAACTTTTTAAAAAATTTTATAAAATTCCTTCACTCATAAGAAACTAACTTTAAATTAACTTTAATTAAGTGATTTTTGAACAATTAAATATATATTAAACAAAGGAATATATAAATACAGGGCCGTACCGAGCCAACTTAAGTAAGAAAAATTACGTCCCAATCCCCCTCCGTCCCACCCAAAAAAAAATTAAAATTAAAAAATGATTTATTTGTCACAAAATTTATCACATCAAATGTAAATAGTATTGTTTAAGTACAAAATAAGTGTAATAGTACTATAAAAGTAAAAAATGTCATTAATGTTGCACAAACCTCAGTACAAATTTTTTGGATGCAAATTCCCTAATAATGTCTTCAAAATTAAGGGTGTCGCCCACTTTGTGTTCAATTAAAACTATAGCTAGACTAGACAAACGTTCTTGGTCCATGGTTAATCTCATGTAGTTTTTTATGAGCTCAAGTTTAATAAAACTTCTTTTGCACATAGCAATTGTCACTGGTATGGTGAGAAAGATGCGAATAGCAATTACTGTGTTAAGATATACATCAGTCAATGAATTCTTATAAATGAGCTTCAAAATGTCAATTGAGCTAGATTTTTCGAAGATTTCCATAATTGCGGCAATTTAATATTTAAAACAATCTGTTTCTGACTGAAAATCAAAAAAATCTAGAAAAATCTGCCTTTTAAATCTGAGATAAATTTTCAGCTTTTGTCTAAAAGTTCGCCAACTAATTTTTTGGATAGTGAATGCCCACATAGGAAGTCGAATTTGGCCACTCAATTTGTGTGAAAATGCTGTCAAATATAAGTTGGCACTAGGATTCGAAATTTCTTTTGCGTAGGTAAAAATTGCCTTTAGTTTCATTCTATTTAACTTTGCGCCTTCTCTTGATTAGAAAGCCGCCTTCAATTTTATTCTTGTTTCTGTGACATCTTTGATAATGTTGTTCACCCCAACATTTCTGAATAAAGTCTTCAATCCTTTTATTTTTTTGCTGCACTGTCAATTGAAATGTTTTTATACTGAAACAGTTTGTTTTCCAGGTCAATTAATAAAAGAATTTGACACCAGAAACCCAACCAACACAAAAAACTGAAATCAATTTGAATGATAAGATCTTTCGCACTGCAAAAGGTGACAGCATTTGTCATGGGATTGTAGATAATGAATTCCAAAACTTGAAGAGCTCCTTTAATTTGTTTGTGCAATGGTGTGATTGCTTCCTTTTGGTAGACCACCCTGTCACTGTTTCCTTTTAGTGAGCTGCACATAGGAAAAACCTACTGACTCAGAAAGGCAATGTATGTGTGGATGCTTTGTAATTTCCAGACGTATTGGCTCTATTGTCGTAAGCTTGCTTGCGGCAATCGAAATTCTTTAGACTTTTTCTAATTTTTAAGTGACCTGTTGCAAGACCTTCATTTTCTTGGTGAGACTCAATGAAGTTCACAAAGCTTTTCTCAATTGTACAGGTTTCATCATTAATGTAGACATACCCGATTACTCAGGTTATCTGCTTCTTGTGGGAGGCATCTGTATTGCAATCAAACAGAACAGAGTAGTATTTAGCTTCTTTGATATTTCATATTATTTCTGTTTTTCTTACTAAGTGACTCAATCAGCTCATTTTAAATTTGAGTAGAAAAGTCCATATATAAAATCTTTTGGGAAAGTAAAAAAAACTGCATTTTCACCCGTAGTAAATTTTTGTTAATGATTAATTTATTTTTTCATTGTTTAGTTAAAGAATAGTTTTATTAATTGATTGATTAACTTTTTTTTTTGAAGTGGATCATTTTTTCACCTTCAAAAAAAAAAGTATTGAACCAACAACAAAAATTGACTACGGGGGAAAATGCAATTTTTTTTTAGTTTCCCAAAAGTTAACATTATAGGACATTTTTATGTTAAACATAAATTCTACAGTACTATATGCAGTAAAATCTAAAATAATAATTTTTTTCATTTTCGAAATTAGGTACCCATTAAATGTTCAAGGGTCTTGAGACACCTCTGAAAATATTTTTTATTCAAAAAAAACTTTTAAATCCAGCGTTATTTTATCATATAAAATGCATTAAGGTCAGGGCCAGATTTATCAGTAGGCTGACTATGCTGCGCCCTAGGGCTTCGCAATTATAGGGGCCCTAATATGTCAAAAAATTTCAGAATTCTTTACTTTTTTTTAACTATTTTTTTATACAAAAAGGGCTCCAAAACATAACCCGTCAGAGAGCAAGTCTGTAAACCCTACAGACTTTTTCTTTCAAATTTCTTATGAGATGCACTTTAACTTTTATTTTCATATAGATATGCAGCCTCCTTCTAAAAAAATTTGCTTATACACTGCTTTTCTTAAAGTAAGCTTAAGACCATCTCAAACAATGCGAGAAAACCTGTGAAAATGGAAACAAAAAAACTCTACAAAGGATTATTACACAGTGTAAGGCTTGTACATCCATGAAAATATAATACACAGTGTAAGGCTTGTACATCCATGAAAATATAATACACAGTGTAAGGCTTGTACATCCATGAAAATATAATACACAGTGTAAGGCTTGTACATCCATGAAAATATAATACACAGTGTAAGGCTTGTACATCCATGAAAATATAATACACAGTGTAAGGCTTGTACATCCATGAAAATATAATACACAATGTAAGACTTGTACATCCATGAAAATATAATACACAGTGTAAGGCTTGTACATCCATGAAAATATAATACACAGTGTAAGGCTTGTACATCCATGAAAATATAATACACAGTGTAAGGCTTGTACATCCATGAAAATAAAATAAATAATTATAAAATATGAATAAATGCTCACAAGAGCAGTTTTTTAATGAAAAAACATTTTATTAATAAACTTTATATAATTAAACATAAATTTAATACCAAAAAAAAAAGAAGCAATTAAATGGTTGTTTTTCTGCATATTGTCACTAAAAAGTTTTCTCCCTTTCTCTTCTCCATCAGATATTTTATTATTTTTTTATTTCAATATGTTGAGAACTTTTTAAAATGAAGATCAAATTTAAAAACTATAAAAAAAACTGTGTTAGCAGAAATACCTATTCTTTACCTATTTCTATATTTTTATATCCTTTTTAACTCTTAAATGTTTACCTAAAATTAATAATATTAATGCAATAAAGCTTTATAACTTACCAAGTTTACAAAACAAAGGCAAAAATTCTTCATATGATTTTTTTGAAGGATTCAAGTTAGTAAGAAACTTAAATAAAGAATTTTGGTTTTTATTGGTTAATCCACAAATCATCGATAAACAATTCCTCAGCATTCTATTGGCCATAATTTCTTCACTACTTAAACAATTATATGCATATACAGATGCACAAAACTCCATTATTGTCAAGTGTGCAAATTGATAATGATGACCGAAATTTGTTTCAATTCTTTCTATAAATCCAAAAAGATTACCCTCATTTTTATCTAAGTCACTGATAAAACTTTGAATTTCTTCTTTAGAAAAAATGACTTTATTTTCAACAAACAACTGATAAGCAATTTTACAAATATTTAAAACGTATGTTTTATTAGAATCGTTTTCCATTATTTGATAAATTAATTCATTGTTTTTGATGATGTGTTTTTGTAAAAAGTATAAAAAAATATTTGCATACAAATCTGTCATCGTTAAGAAAGAATTTTGATTTAATTCTTTTGAATCACTAATAATTTTACACATGGAAGATAAATAAAACGGAACAGATGCCATAGCTTTTGCAATCGAAGATTCCTTCAAAGTTGTTTTTACAACTTCTTTTTTTTCTTCTGTAACATTATTTTCTATGTAATCATTAATTCCGTATTGGTTAAATCCCATTACTTGAATGGTTAACTTATCATTGTGCTCTGTAGATATACTTTGGTATTTATCGATTGCATAAACTCTGCCAGCAACTACATGTTTGTATTTTTGAATTTCTACTAAAGTTTTAACAATTGGATAGTTACAAGTCAAAGTGTGATTTATTAACTCATCTAAATATTTAAACTCATCTAATCCATCAATTAAAAACATTACAGTATGATTGTGAATATTAAAATCATTTAAAATATCTTTGTAGAAAACATTTAATAATTCATTAATATTAGAAATATTTTGATATTGATTAAGCCTTCTGTATTCCAAATAAAACACAAGTTCAACATTTTTCCAAATTAAATTTTTTGACCAATCAAGCAAACATTTTCTAAGCAACCATGTTTTCCCAATACCAGCTATTCCAGATATTAATAAAACAGATTTTTCTTTCATAAATATTTCACTATATGGAATTGGTGTATAACTCATTTGCTTTTCAAGAAATTCCTTTCGTTCAACATTACAAACCGCATTCATTTGAGTTTTAACTGCATCAACAATACATAGATCAACAAATTTATGTATTAGATCAACACTTTCAGGAACTTTTAATGGTGGATGAATTTCAATGACTTTTTCATAATTTTCAAGGTAATAATTTTTTAGTGCTGAACATATCTCTGATATACCTAAATAAAAATAATTCATAATCAAACTTTCTCATTTAATTAAAGTTAATACTTCTAATATTTCTAATTTAAAGTTAATTAAAATTAATAATTCTAATAAGCATCTCGTTTAAAGGTTAATTATAGTTAATAGTTCTAACAAACTTCTTATTTAAAGGTTAAATAAAGTCAATAATTCTTATAAATACCTTGTTTAAAAGTTAATTAAAGTTAATTCTAATAAACATCTCATTTAAAGGTTAACTAAAGTTAATAATTCTAATAAACATCTAATGAATCAAAAAGGAACAGCTCAGCCTGTCAATAAAATCACATCAGTATTTTTGTCAACTGATACTACAGAAAAAAAAGAGATTGTTTTGGAAACTTCTAAGCAAACTTTGATAGATGAATATTTAAAGTCATAAAAGGTAAGGAGCATTATTGACTCAAGGTCTCAAATTATTTTTTGTAAAATTGGGTTGATGTTCTTAAAAAACCAGTCATTTACTTTAGTTTAAGATACAGGTTTTAATAACTTAATGTAATGAAACCAGAAATAGCTTGCCAAAAAAGAAATATTTTTCTAAAACAACAATACCATAAAATAAAACAATAATATTTTCAAATATAAGGACTAGATGCCTGATTTCTCATTAACCATTTATTTTATTGTCAAGCCACTGCATTGATAAAGATTTTAAAAGAATTGATGTGGTATTACATGCTTTTCATTTTCCTGAAAACCATAGTGGATTAAACATATCTGAAAAGTTAGAAAGTATGTAGGTTATGTGAAAAACTTCAATTGAAAGACATCAACTTCTTGTAAGAGATGGTGCTAGTAATATGGTAAATTGGAGTCATCTAGTTAAAATCTCAATCTATTGTGCTATTTATTTACTTACAATTAGTTGTTCTAGATTCAATCATGACAGATTTTGGGTTTATGTCTTTTCTCTTTCAGCTGATAAATGTGCCTCCTACATAACCACCTGAATTCAGACAGGAAAGAAGCTTTTATCTTATCGGTTCCAAGTCAAGCCTCACTCTAATTCATGGTTTTCACCTTGTGGAAATATATCAAATCATAATCTTTTTTTTTAATATTTTTTAAAAGAATAACTCTTAAGAATAAACAGCTATTTATTATTGCCAGAAGTTGATGTAAAAAAATGCTTTCTGATGCTAAGCTCCATTACAGCGCTCGAAATAATTATTTGAAGGTTGCCGATCAACACTGATTGGCAGAAATAATAAAAGTAATAAAGTAGACGATCAAAAAATTATCCAGACGATCAAATTTTTCTTAACTTTTTCTTTAATAGCGTACAGTTTAGGTGACGTCAAATTGTTTGTTTAACCGCTATCAACCTACAATAAATTGCGTTTTTAGAAAATTCTATTGATTTTGTGCAATTTTCTAAAATATCTTTACCTTAATGCCTTTTAGTACTAAAAAAATCTATTTTTAGAACACTAGCTGAACGCTATTGGTTTTTGAATACAACAGCGTACGTCCGCGTTATCGTTTATAGTTTTTACTTTTAAACTTAGCTCTTAATTCACTTTTTCACTTCAACGCGTTGCCTTTTAAGTGACGTAAAAATATTTTTTGTGACTCGAACAATTGTTTTTTATATAATGATCGTTTTTTAACAAAAATGACACAATAAAAAGGTAACGAACTTTTTAACCAATATTTGATTATTAAAACTTTTTTAAACTAAAAAAAGGTGAGAAAAAATAATCTCGTTTTGCGCTATTCATTACTTGATTCGTTAGATGATGAATCCAAGTCGATTAATGTTTTTAATCCTGCTTTTTTTGCTCTTTTGGAATAGCATTTTCTTACTGATTGTTTTGGCCTTCGCACGGCATTATTGGTCCATAACTCGATAGCAGAACTTAAATCAAATAAATTGGAATCTTTTTCATCGAAACTTACTCGAATTAAATTTTCTAAATGTTTCTCTTTCAGAGAGTTTCTTGTATCCGTTTTTACTCTATTCATTAGTGAAAAAAGGCGTTCAACTTTCGCATTAGAAACAGGCAAAGTAAATAATAGTTCGACAATAAGTAAAACCGGAACCCATTCATTTTTCATTGAGCTAGAAAAAATTTGATGCCATAACTTACGATAACCGGTATTATGTGGTGCTAAATATTTTACAGTGTAGTTTACCAAGCTATGCCAAGCATCCAAAACATCATTTACAGTTCCTGCAAAACCAGCATGTCGCAACGGCGCTCTATAAAAGTCAAAAAGATTTTCTATTCCTTATCCAGGAATGTTTCATTTTCAATACTTTGAAGCCAACCTTCTGTATTTAAAACTTTTGTACCATACATATCAGTAATAGTATCGCTTGTTTCCAAACGCTCTATGATTGAATTTGTTACCAACTCGATATGAATAGATTTAGACTTTTTTACTAAATGTTTAGCATTTACAAAGTTGTTAAGTGCAACACCCTGGAAATAAAACTTTCCTTCTTTTTCAGTCACTTTGGCGAGAAAACGTTTTACTGTTGGCAAATTAATAAACTTTGTTTTTTGAATACGATTTAAATGGCTTTTAGCTTGTTGAACAAACCCTGATGAAGCCAACACATCTATCTCATCACTTTGAAAACATTTTGACAACATCTTTGCTGGCGCTAAAATCTCAATAAACAACGCGATATAAAGGGGCATTCTAGCATGAATCCACTTTTTGTGGTATCCTTTAAACTTAGCTCTTTCAGCATTGGTAAATGTTATATCTTCAGTAATATTTTCCAGATGTGTTAAATAAACACCGTATTTATCTAAAATCATTTCTAAAGCCTGAACTTTATGTGAAATCCATCGTGTACCTAAAAATGAAACAAGATTATACAATTTATAATTTACTTTATACTTGCAAAAACTAAAAATATAGGTGTCACGCATAACTGTAATGGTAATAAATATAAGATAAATAAATCAAGCAAAAAAAAGAAAATACCGGAGGCTTTCTTAGGTCGGTAACCACCAATGTTATATTCATCATCTTCTAAAATAGAAACGAGTTCACCCAACTGTCTTAACTTTTTGGGGGATTTTTTGTAAATGTAATGCATTTTTAAAATCATGTAATCAACGTCATTGAATGAGGCTGTTTTTCCTAATTTTTCTTTTAATGATAACTCGAGACAATGTGCTACACACCAGCCAAACGTGATCCAGGGGACTTCAGCCTTGAGCAACATTTTAACGCCCGACTTGCTCCCTCTGTTAACGGATGCGCCATCCGCACCAAATCCAACTAGTTTTTTATTGCAATTTACGACTTCTATATTCTCGAGTGACTTTTTTATGGTATTGAAAACTCCGTGCGAAGTTCCATACTCAACATCCAAAAGTGAAAGAAAATCACATTCAACGTTTACTTCAGATTTTCCAGTTGGAGCCGGATTAAAAGTAACGGCAAATATAGCTTCTTTTTCCTTAATTGAAACGTCGTTAGAACCGTCAATTAAAATAGTGAAAAAATTTCGAGTATTTAGTTTATTTTTGAGATCTATCGCTAAACTAAGAGCAATGTAGTCAATAAATACTCTGCATGTGTTTTCGTTTTTATAAGCCTGACCAAAAACTACACCATGTTTCTCTTCTAATTGAATTATTTTTGGGTATAGGCAAAGCGATAGTTCTTCTTTTGCTATAAAGTAAGCGACCTCAAATTTTTTTTTTGTCAAATCCAAGTCTTTACTATTCATGGTTTGAATACCGGATAAAATGTCTGTTTGCCGCATTTCCTGCTGCAACTCGTTTAGTTTTTCAATTCGATCACACAAATTCATGCCTCTTGTTTTCATAAAAATCTCAAAAGCCTTCTGATGAGACATTCCCTCTGCATGCGTGATTGCAGAACTATGTTGCAATCGACTACATCCTTTTCCACAGCTCCATTCCGGAGTGTAGCCTTTTAAAATCTGAATTTGCGATGCATATTCTCAGCATACTTTGCATTTTAGTGCTGTAATTATTCCGTCAACGCTTTCAATTTCAAGCCAATCATTAGCCTTATATTTTGCAAGCGTAGAGACTTTCCATTTATTAGCTGTTTGTAATTGTAGCTTTCTGTCATAAGTTTTTAGTTTTTTCTCAGCGGGTGTTCCAGATACTAAGTTTCTTTTAAAAGAAATAAATGTTTGACGCTTTTTGTATGCTTCCATTTTAAGATTATTTTTAAACTTATCATTTAAGAAATGTTAACCTTTCTAGTTATTAATTCATTTTATTCAAATGAATTCGCTTTATTAAAATAATTTTTTTACAGTTAATAAACTTTCGAACTGAAGACTGTTACAAAATCAACGCTATGTTTATTCCACCAATCAAAAGCATTATTAAGTTATTTACAATAAACTTCCCGCTTCTTTTTAATTACCATTTTTAATGTGAACTAAAAGATTATTATTGGTCTAAAAACTTGTTTAATTCAGCAATAATGAACATATTTTTTTCAATGCTAATTTAATAAATTTAAAATTCTTTTTTAAATGTTAAAAAATTTTTTATTCTAATGTGAGACATGCAATGTAGACGATCAAATTTGATCGGCCATAATTAATTTTGGGAGTTCAAAATTTCATTTTTTCAAAAAGTCGACGATCATTGATCGTTGATCGGCCGTTATTTCGAGCGCTGCCATTATTCTCAGTTTACTGAATCAGACATCTCATCTCAGAAATTGGGCTCTGTTGAGACTTTTGGAAAATCCATTAACAAGGTTAGGTTTAAAATTCACTTCAGCCAGTTATCGATTAGGTAGCTGATCTTGAATCTCACTTCTGTAACAGATTGGGGCTTGCAGTGACTTATGAATTTTAACTCAAACAAAACTCAGTTATATACTGCAAACAACTACCACAATACTTTTAACATTCCTTTATTAATGAATGGCAACCCTCTCATTGAGTCCTCCTCTTTTTATCTTCTTGAATTATCATTCACTAATGACCTTTCATGGAAACCATATATATATATTTTTTCAATGATGCTCTTTCTTTTCCTCTACTAAGTCCAAAAAATGCATTGTAAAATGTTAAATGCAAAAATGCATTGTAATATTGGATCCGCTCTATTTTCCAAGCTTAAGCCTCTCTCCCTTCATCGTAAAGTTACATTTCTTTCTCTTTACTACAAATACTACCATCGTGCTATCATCTCTAGTTCCAACTAAAATTCATTATCGCTTTACTCGTCATTGATAAAAGTCGCATTCTTTTGCAGTACCTACCCTGTATGTTTTGAAAACTTTTAATCGTCAAGTTTTATTCCCCACACTTCAATTCTTTAGAACCCTCACATATCTTTTTCTGACTCATACAACTTAAAACTTTTTAAACTTTCTGTCAACTGCTTCCTTGCTCTATAATTCTCTAGGCCACTACAGTCAAAGACGCTACTTTAGTTGTGGTTACAACCAATCTTATAACTCCAAAACATGAACCTTGTTGAACAACGCTGATGCACAGAGAAACATTTTGAGCTTGGTACTACAAAGGACAGGGTATTTAACTAGTTAATGTTGAATATACTGTTGGGGATAGATTTGTGTAACTAATAATGATAATAACAATATATTGTAATTATCATTATTAACCCTTTCTGGCCTGAATTATGCAAATGTAATTTTAAAAAAAATTTTTTCTTGAAAACACACCTATTATAAGTCAAAAATCAAACCCAGACAGAAAAAATTATATAAAACATTTCATACAGCAAAAGATAGCTATGTCGCGTATTGTACACAACAGGCCACAACGGCCGTATAAGACAAGGTACAATAACACAGTTATCAACAGTTATTCGTGAAACTGGCGAAAACAGTTACTCTTCTTTGAAAGGCAAAGATTTGCATTGCACTTAGTGCATACAAAAACAGTTTGTCCTTTGCACCCTGGACGCTTGCACCTCTGCCTCACACCATGTGCCGGCCAGTGACCAACAGAGTCTGTGCGAACATCCTGAGTTGGCACAGGCTTAGCAGGTCCCCTCTTCTTCTTGCGCTGCAGCTCTGCCTCCATACTGGTTGATGGTCTGCCACGCTTCTTTGCTGTCATGTCTTTGCCTTCACGACAAAGAGCATCAGCTATTTCAAGCTTGAAGGCCATAAGATCCTTCTGCTGACGCTTATCAACTCCCATATCACGACAATCCCGGCGATACAGTAACCAGCCAGTTGCCACTGCCAAGTCCACAAAATGGAAAAAAAAGCGGTGGTAATATTTCTTTGATTTCAAGTGGATCCGATACCTCGCCATGATGGCATCCAGGGTATCAACTCCTCCCATGAACTTGTTGTAGATCTGTATGATTTCTGGGCGTGGCACGTCAATATGCTGCTTTGTAGTACGATCCCACCGCCTCGCAGTTGACACTGGTTCTGCACTAGCAAATGTACTGGCTAGTGTTACAGACTTGTTGTCAAACCACTTGACAACTCGAACTTCGACACCATTGACCACACCCTCTCTTTCTTCAAATGAGCCACGCCCTTTCTTCTTCAGAGTTGCATCAGCAATCATCTTGCAATTCTGAAGACGATTCGCACGAACTGTCCCAACTGCTAATATGTTCCTATTAGCTAGGGCTGACAGCAACTTCAGTGACGTAAACCAATTGTCAAAAAACAACAGGTACTGCTTCTCTTGCGGCAAGACCTCGACCAGCTGAAGCACAATGTTGCCACTGGCACCAATGTTTGCTTGATTGGATGCTGCCTGAATCTTTCCAGTGTATATTATGAAATTATGCACAATTCCAGTCACATCACACAGCATAAACACTTTATAGCCCCATTTGTAGGGCTTGCTCGGAATGTACTGTTTCATTCCCGACTGTCCCTTGAATGGGATAATTTGTTCATCCACTGACAACTTATGGTCAACTTCCAGTGAATGGAACTTTGGCAAGAGAGAGTCAATCAACGGACGTATTTTGAACAATTTATCTCTCTGAACGTCATCTGGAGCAAGCATATTTCCATTGTCGTTGAAGTGAAGATTACTTTTCAGTTCAACCCACCTGTCACGTGACATCACATCTGCAACCTGTGACAAACGCGATGCTTTGCCCCAGTACATCTTACTTCTTGGCAGATTAAAAATAGACATGTACATAGTCATACCAAGAAACTGTTCAATTTCATCCTTGGAACAACCAATAGGCTTATTTACATCTTTTTGTGTTGCATACAGATTGGTGTGATCAGTAATGTGTTCCACCAACCCACTGTCAAAGAAGTAACGAAAGTACTCCACTGGCGACTTTATGGTATCAGCAGAAGCACGTTGATCAGCAGACTCTGGCATTGACTTTGCAGATGATTGGCCAGTAACACATTTCCAAACAGTAGATCTTCCAACAGCAGCAGAAGTGGAAGGCTGCTCATCATCGCTGCTGTCTTGCTGGTCAGATACTTCGTATTCTTCTGTATCGTCACCAGATGATACTTCAGCAACTTCATTGTCACTCGACGAGAGCTCATCATCATCACTTTCTGCAGGAATGTTACGAACAAAACGAGCTGTTGTAGCAGTCTTCTTGTAGAACTGAACAGGCTTCATCTAAAATCAGAATACAATTTATGCTATGATTAGTATTGGTATCTAGTATTATATATCACTATGTTTGCAATAAAAAATACAAAAAAAATATAAAATATGCACAGATACAAAAATAATATCAATATCACTACTAACAGAACAATCATTATAGCAAATACTATATCACAAATAATAATAGTAATAATATTACAAATCATAATATAGCCCAAACTTGCCCTAATTACTAACTCTAGCCTAACCCTAAGTCGCACCTCAGACACTCTATAAAAGTATAGCAGATATAATTGGTATCTATAAGAACACTAAACAAATATATAATAACTATACTAAAACATGGCTATGATACTATTGTAGCTGCTTGTATTACCAGCAATAATAATAATAATATTAGTAATAAATTATTATTATTATTACTACTATTAGTATTATAATTATTATTCCTAGTAGTAATAAAATTGAACACTATTATGAACATGGTAAAATATAAATATATTTCACCATAACAAATCATAAACAAATAATCTGTCATTCCAGCATGTTATATCACACAATACTAAGCTGAAGAGTGTCAATTTTGTATCTGTTATATTCAATGCTATGCCCGATTGTGTATAATTCCACACATACAAAAAACACCACATAAAAATTTATTCCTGCAATCCAGCTACAAATTCAAGGTACTACTATACAAAGACACCACTACTACATAAAATCCATAACATTTCATGGTTATAACTAACCTGTATAACTCGGAATAGTCAGGTCTTCCGTCTCGTAGTAACACCGTAGACCTTCTCACAAAATCCCTGTAAACAAAGCTCGAGCCAAGAATCCAAAGTAAGAACGTCATTGGTTCAACGATTTTATCGTCATCCTAGGTATGTGTACAATACGCGACAACCGGTCATAACGTTCTAAACGCCACTGCTATTAAAGCAGCGCTTGGTCTCGGTATGTGTAAAATTCTACACAACCGGCCAGAAAGGGTTAATAATGTAAAATTAAAAAAATTTTAATAATGTTAGTTAACAAACAAAACAAAAAAATGTCTTTTGTTCAAGTAGAAATAAATTTTTTTAACTTTTCTTCAAATTTAAAATCAAAAATAAAATGTTACCTTTTTTATATTCATTTCTTGCTTGTTTAAACAGATCAAAAGAAATAACTTCATATCTAAACAAATTTAACCAAAAAAGAATTTCAGAAATTGTAATTGTAATTGTGAGTAATTACTACTAAGTAATAAAAAAAATCAAAATCATATACAAGCCTTCCCAGGTGTGCTGTTTCATGTCTTGTATGACCACACAGGAGTGTTTTATTTTAGACAAATTGATGATGGCCAATTGCAAGTTTTATTATATTTGCAGATTATTATATTTTCAGATATTATATTTTCAGATATTATTATATTTTCAGATATTATTATATTTTCAGATATTATTATATTTTCAGATATTATTATATTTTCAGATATTATTATATTTTCAGATATTATTATAATTTCAGATATTATTATATTTTCAGATATTATTATATTTTCAGATATTATTATATTTTCAGATATTATGAATATTTGCAGATTATTATATTGCAAAAAAGCATAACTTAAATAGGAAATAAAAGGAAATTTAAATATAAAAAAATAAAAATATATTAATAATTTAAACTATTTGTTTACTGTCTACATTACTGTCTACATTAAAAACAATAATTTTCCTATATTTTATTTTTGTTTTTTTAAAAAGAAAAGTGAAAATATAAATATATTTGTATAATTTTCTAAATTAATTCCAAAGTAATTCTAATATAATTCAATGTATTTTAATGTAACAAGTATATTGTCACTATAATGAAAATGTCTATGTAAAGCAAGTGTATTCTTTTTTGTATTATATAATTAAATTTATTTCTGTAAATCTGAATGCAAGTTGAACTTATTTGGACAAGGTGTTGACTTCCAAAACAAAATGTTTGTGGTTCATAAGCCACCTATTTTTTTTTGTTTTTTTACACACGCACAGAACCAAATATGTTGAAAAGAAAGGTGTCTCCACTAAAAAATTGCAGATAAAAGCGTACAGGAAAAACTTGCAAACAGCCATGACTAAGTTGTCTAAAACGAAATACTCATGCGTGAACATAAAAGACGAAAAACTGCGCCCGTTTCTTATGAAAGCTTGATATATTATATACATATTTATATTATACTTAACTAATTAATGCTGAATATATTATTGGGGATAGTGCAGATCTGTGTAACTAGCATTAAATAATATTGTGTATCTTTGGAGTTCGATCCCCACAATGCCCCTAGTAGTACCATGCTCAAGTTTTTCCGCGCAGGTGCCTTGTTCCTCAAGATTTATGTTTCACAGTTATAGAGTTGAGAAAGGGTTATAATCACAATTAAGCAGCCCCCATGCCTGTAGTGGCCTTTTTGGCCTTGGGTAGGTGAATTAAAATGAAATTTTAATTCACCTACCCAATTCAACTCATTTCTCCACGCAGCGGCCTTGTTCGTCAAGGTTCGTGTTTCAGAGTTATAGAGTTGAGAGAGGGTTATAGCCACAAATAAGTAGCCTCCTCGTCTGTAGTGGCCTTCTCGACCTTGAGGAGGTGAATTAAAATAAAAAAATAATAATAATAATAAATAAATCTGACAAATTTAGTCAATTAATATTGAGGATATAAATTAATAACTTTAACACCTAATATCTATTGTTAGCATTAGAAAGAACAAGAATAAAACTCTCTTAGCCGAAATAATCCCAAAATCTTTTAAAAATTAAAAAAATAATGTTTTAACCTTCTCCTGTAATGCCATCTGTAGTTATACGAATTTGCACAACCCCCTAGGATATGTGAATATATAACTTGAAAATAATAATAACAATTTATATTTTTGCTTTTATTTAGTTGTTTGATATCATGTCTATTGTTACATATAGCTTGATAATCTTTTTAACAGAAGGGTACTAGTATACATTAGATGGGAGTAGAAAGGCTACTGCATTTAACATTTGATATGTTAATAAAAACTTTTGATTAAGTCTGTTATGTTAGTTTTTAACATAAGCTTTATTTGGTAAACCTGGAAAAGTTTTTAAAATGATTGAATATCTTCCCAACCAGTTTTAAGAACAATAAAGTTCACTCTTATGAAAACTATACAACTCACTCTTATGAAAACTATACAACTCACTCTTATGAAAACTATACAACTCACTCTTATGAAAACTATACAACTCACTCTTATGAAAATTATACAACTTACTCTTATGAAAACTATACAACTTACTCTTATGAAAACTATACAACTTACTCTAATGAAAACTATACAACTAATCAATTTTTTTTTATTTGAGTTTTTGTTTTTTAGTTTGTCCTTGGAATACAAATTCAATTCACCATTGAATTCAAAATCTGTAAATGGTTTACCTTTTACTTAAAATAAAAATTTCACGAATATAAAACAAAAAATTTAAAGTTATTAATGGTTTATGTGTCCACTATGGTGTGATTCAAAATGCAATTAATAGGTTTTAAAAAATAATACATTATAATTTTGAATTGAAAGAAATTATAATTTTGAAAGTCATTTTGAATTGAGAAAAAAATGGGATTCAATAAGCAACTGTATTGAAACATCAAACCTGAAACATCATTTGTATTGTAACATCAAAATTTTGTTGTGATGCGTTCACAGTTTGAGTTGAAAAGAAAATGCGCTTCAAAATGCTTGTCTTGGATATAATAGGACTCTGAAATTTTGTGAGATAAGTCCTGTGAGGGCAATACCACAAAATACCTTTTTTTTGTAATTTATTAATGCTTATTTATAAGTATCATTTTTTACGAGGTGTGCACACATAGGACAAACATTCCTAATAATTGCCATACAATAAAAATAAAATTAATTCAGTATTATTAAATAAATAACACATAAAGGTATATAATTACCTCGAGTTTTCTGGATAAGATAAAGAATCTAAAGTTTAAAAATGTAACATATTTATGTTTTTTATTAATTTATTAAAATGCAAAGATAAAAAAATTATTACAACCTTTGAATTAAATAAAAAAAAAAGAAGAAAAAAAAATGTGGCGTGGTTACAACCCTTCTCAATTCTTAAACATTGTAACCGCATTACATTTTTACATTTAAGGGTAAAAAATGTTTTTACTTTTCTTTTTTTTTAGATATTCTTACCTCCATATTCTTTCTCAATTTCGACAACTATATCAGGACGTCTAAAAGCTACTAATTCCTTTTTTAACTGCTCCCATGAAGAATTTCCGTTCATTTGTTTCCATTTTTTAAAAACATTATCAGCTTTCTCATAACATTTTACATTATCAGAGCCAATGTTATTCAAATCTGAATCACTTAAGCCTAGGAATCTTCCCCATTGAAGCCAATCACTCCCAATTTTATAGCTTACTTCACCACAACATTTTGAAATCAACTTGTCATAGGTTAAATTATTTCTTGACACTAAATATAAGAAACTTAATTTGTAAAAAAAAAAAAGATATGAGAAAGTTATAAAATAATTAAAATTAAAACTGCCCTTTCCCTCCGCCACAAAATTTTTATCAGGATCCTTAACTTTCTTTGCACCCCCTCCTCCCCTTCACAAAATTTTTTTTTTGGATAAACTCCAAAAAATTTAAAGGTTACAAAAACACGTTTGCCGAATAATATACTCTAAACACATACAAGAACATGCAAAACCTCTTATGAAAGATATGAAAAAGATGTATGTGTTTGAAATAAATACCTATCAGCATCTTATTTTTATGTATAGATATTACAACAACCTCTTAAAAAAAAACTTAAACAAGTTTGAAAAAAAATATAAATAAAAATAATAATTTAAGATCAAATAAAACAACAGTTATAAATTGCCTCTGAAATTTAATAAATTCTCAGAATATTGTATATCTTATCAAGGACCCAAATTATGGAATGACTATCATAAGGAATATAAACTAATGGTGAAGTCTTTAAGTTCGTTCAAATTTCAAACAAAAAAATAAATTTTTAAAATGTGATTATAAGATAAACTTGCATTTTTAGCATTTGTTTGACTATTTTAACGGTTAATTTTTCTTTGTTTGACTATATTTTTTGTTTTCAGTTTGTTTATTTTTTATTTATTTAATTGTTTTGACTATTTTAATGGTAACTTTATACCCACACGATATTGTATTCAAGTCTTTATAAAGGGGTTCTATGAAAAGATTGTGATAACGTAATGTTTTCTGTATCTTCTTTGAGCTCCTCTCTGCTTTAACTTTATTTTAATTATTATGTAACTTTCAGTATTTATTTATGTATTTTCTTTTATTGTATATGCATTTAATGTGCATTGTAAAAATAATATTTATACCATGTTAAACAGAAGAAAAAAAAAAAAAAAAAAAAACAACCTTATTCTGAAACACAATTTCAATTTAATAACATAAAAAACAATTAGTTACTTTGCAACATACTGGTTTCTAGTTTAACTCTATATTTAAATCTAATGTTTTTGATAACCAAGTCATTGCACATATTCAAAATATAATAACAGTTTAAAATAGCAAAATTTATCTAACTAGTATGTTATTATTTTATTATATTATCATTGTACTAAACACAATAAGTTGAGCTGATAAAAAATGTTTTGGTTTAATATTGTATTTGCATTAAAATGCTACGACATCATATTTGCAACCTAAAATTGTATAATGATTTATTTATTATGATATAATGTAAGTTATTCTAACTTTTTAGATATAATTAAATAGTTACTAACTATTTAAGGAAAATTTCAAAAAAAAAACAGGCACAAAAACATTTTGTCTATTATTTTTATAAAAGTTAAACTGGCAATATCTAATTTACTTTTCGAAATTTTATAATGGTTTTACTGATTTTGAAAAGAACCTTGTGTTTTCACATGAAATTATCATCTGAAAAAGTTTTTTTTTATAAACCACTGCATTATTTTTATACTAATCTTATATTCACCTACCAATTTTCATCGAAAAAGAGTGTGTCATAGATACCTTTCTACTTTTCTCAGAAAAGGTACCTAAATTTATTTTTTCTCACTTTTGATGTAAGGGCTAGGGAGGTTTCAAACTTTTTGAAACAGTAATATTCTTTTGTTACTAATATGACAATATAAAAGACTTTTATATTGTCATTTTAATAACTTTTTAAATGTTATATCTTCTATATAATATTGCCAAACTTAATAGTAGTGTCCCTTGGAGCGTATTTGACACGAAACCCTTGGCAGCCATTGCAACCGAGGTATTAGCAAGAAAGAGTCGCAGCACTATAAGAATACGTGAACGAATATCTAACGTACGTAAACTTTAAACTAAGTAATGTTAAAGCATATGTTAAAACATACTGAAACATTTATCACGTTTTACAGTTTGATTTTTACTTGAAAATTACATTACGTCAACCTCTCCTTAATTTTGATCTAACATATTTTTCCTCAAAAAAATTACTACATTTTTATAAAATCTACACTTGACGATATGCCGGCGTAGCTTGAATGGATAGGGCGGCGAACTTCTGAACAAGCAACTAGAGGTTCGACTCCTACCAAAGGCGGCTGTTTTTTTTAATTTTTTTAATTATTTTAAAATACAAAATACTTTCGAAGTTTTATAAAGATTATATACAAACATATGTAACGTAACGATATTATGCACTCACAAAAGAAAAGATTTTAAGAATGCTAAAACTTCATAAAACATTAAAAAAAAAAAACAACATCACCAGGAGAAAAAATATGTTGCGTATCTATGATAATTGAGACACTTATGTTATTAATGTGCGAATGTATTTAGTCCTAATAAGCTGCGGATGGTCTGAAAAAAAAGTTGTCTGAAACCTAATAAAAAAAAAACTTAACAAGACAGCCCTGCTACTTCATAAGATGCTGCTGTGGAGGCAAAAAAAAAAAAAAACCTGTAGCTAGATAAAACTTTAAAACTTTCTTTTGACAATTAAAAGTTTATTTTGCTACATTAACTTTTTTACTATAAATATATGCAGCAACTGTTTTTCAAAACGCCTTAATATGCTTATGACGTAATTCAAAAAAAACCCAATTAAAAATAAAATTGTTTGGAAAAACTCTTCGTAAAACGTTTTTTGAAACGAATAACTTTTATTTAGTTTTTTTTTTTCTTTTGTGCAACTTTCTTTTCAATAAATTTCTTTACCTTTCAGAATATGACCATTTTTAACAATGCTATAGAAAAAATATCAGTAAATTGATTAGTAGTATTTCAATTATATTAATTAAATTAAATTATATATATTAAATTATATATTATATAAAGATTAAATTAAATAGATAAATAAATTGATATACATTTAATACATGTGTATTTTTTTTTTTGAAAAAACTTAGTGACAAAATAGACTAATTAGATAAGTCGTTAAGTAGAATGCTAAGAATATATTTCTGGCGGTTATTGTTGCTAAGGCTGATTAATAGGCAAATAAATTAAAAGCTAATCAGGGTTTTAAATAAACTATAAACTAATCAGGGAAGTTTTATTTGTAAACCGAATAAATAGGAAAATAGCATATAATTCAGGTAGACATTGTTCTCACCTTTTCGCCAAACTCTGATATCTTTGATATTAAAAAATATGACCCTTCCAATAATTATAGATGGTAGTGTATTAACCTTTTTTTTCGGAACCACAATCCGTAATGATTTCTATTTTATTAATGTGAACGAAAGCCTATTCAAATATCTAAATATGTAAACTTTAAGTTCTTCAACAATCAGTATAATTATAAAGTAGATCACATCAAATTCTACCGATTTATTTTTACTTAATAATTTCATTGCGACATTATCTCTTTATTTTAAAGCATTAAATGTTGTTTTTTAAAGTTTAATAAGTTTTCTGTTTATTAAATAGTGTTAAAAGATGATATAACATTCCACAGCGATTGAAGTGCTTCGCTTCGGTTCAAAACCTTTTGCTTACACAATTTTTTTTTAAAATCCTATCCAGTTTTCTAGAAAACAAAGAAAAACAAGTTTAAATGCATATAGATGTTATACGCATTACATGAAAATAAAGATATAATATACTATAACAAACCAAACGGATAGAATTTTTTAAAACGTTTTTAAAAATTTTTAAAAACATAAAAACGCTGTTGGAAATTTGTTGCGCATATATCATGATAGAGATACTTATGTTTTAGGTAATTTGTTAAAACTGCGAGTTCAACACTCATTAAAGAGATAAATTTCTTTCTTATATATATAAAAAAAAGGTTTTACATGCAATCTGAAATTTTTATTAAAACTAACTGGTCAAGAGTCCTAAAAAGTACGGAAAGATATGAAAAAAGAAATTGTAATCTGAAACCTAAAAAAAAAATTTAGTTACTCCAGAAGGTGACAAACAGAAAACCTTCAAAATTGCGCCTAATCCGCTAATAGAAATGCTCGAATATTAAGATATAAACAAATATTAAATGATTTTTGTATTACGAAACGTACGCCAACTCTTAAACCACTGTAAAACTACTTTGCGGTTATCTAATTAAATCCACCAAATCCGTTAATAAAAACAGCTTAATTAATAGATTCAAAACCATCTGATTTTTGTATTATGATATGTGCGCCAACTGTACTCTAAAACCAATAAAACTCGGCCATGTGGTCTTCATATCGATTATAACAATTGCAAAGCGAGGGACGACAAGTAAGTTGTAACTACAAGTTTAATTATTGTAATCTTCATTTAAAAAGTTAAACTTATTTTATAATTACCATGTTAATATGTTTGAAGTTAATATGTTTTTGACCCAAGAATAAACATTAAGATTATTTTTTAGAAATGAGCAGCCAAGATACAGAAGGTATTCTTTTAGTTTTGTATAACATTAATTAATTAAAGAGATAAAAAGAGATGATACGTCAATAATACTGAGATATTTAGCTTATTATTTTATTAAGAAATTACATTGAGATAATTTTGTATATCTTTAGGCGACGAAGAAGTTTCTGCATTTTTTCGAAGTAAGCCATTTATATATACTATATATAGTAGCAGTTACATATGTTCTAAAAGTGGCGGAACTGTACTTGATTTACGGTGTGAATAAAACGATGATTTAATTTAGCCGTTTTTAATTAAAATCAACCAAGATATGCCGCCCTCCCCTAACCCCGTGAATCAAGTACACCCCCCTAAAATTTAACTAAAATTAAAAAATATATAAATTAAATTTTAGAACTTTAAAAGGGTGGACCCAAAATTTGTTTATTCCGCCATTTTGATTGATGTTTTTGTAAAGCAGTGAACCTTAAAAACGCGTATAAGGTTTTTTAAGCTATAATTTTATAAAACGTGTTTAAGCTAAAATTGACTTTTAAGTCTTCTAACTACTAAACTTTTACGTAAAATGAAACTTTTTGTCATTTACTGAATGTGTTAAATTATAAAACTGTG